TTGTGGACCTTTACTTCAAGATAATCACAAGTCGTTTAGCTCAACTAGCTCTATCTAAATTGAGAAAAAACAGTGGTCAGATTTCGTATAACCAATGGCACTAAACATCACACCTAATGGCTCAAGAATACCTCTTGATACGTATATAGATACATGTTTGAACTTGAAAGACCACTGTGAATATATCGCCTCAAAGATAAGCTCCCAATCATATCTCATGAGGAATCTACGAACAATCCTAACTCGGCACAGTTAGTTTCTGATCATTATGCTCAAGTTGACACACGTCTGAGATATGCCTCATTATGTTTCTGGGTTTGTCTACAAATGTTCAGAAAAGAATGATTCGATGTATGGTTGGAGTCAGTAATACACATTCTTAAGGTTCTTAAGATTTCAACGTCAGTATTTTTATTTTATATGTGTGTGTGTGTATAGAAATAGGTCTTTAAATAATTTTAATTCGTACTCGACCAGGCAAGCTGTACATTTAAACGTATGCCCTGATACCATAATGGGTTCAAGTATTTTTAATAAGCTTCCAAACCACTATGCACCGACTACTAAGAAATATAGACCTCTTGATTCGTAAATAGAATAAAAAATAAGTCGTTGCGCACATGTCTATGGGTCAGGAGAGAGTCCGGCACGGGTATTATGTAAAAAACCTATAAAACGTAAACAAAACCTATAAAATGTCATCTTGCAGGTAGTCGGGTGCAAACAGTCATTCCACGTTTGCTCACTAGGATCTATGGAGGAATGACTCAGCTACACGCATTGTTGGTTGCATATGTTTTGTGTAGTTTCAATCTCTGAGAAGAAAGTTGGTTGAATAGCAAGACCGCATCTGGATGATTGTGTGCATTGGACTGCATGTGTATAAATTCAGTGATGTTTGCTATGTGAGAAAATCATTACTGAATATGCTGCCAATGAAGTATATCTACTATTAGCTGTGCCGGACAGGTTATTTATATGTTGTCCTTTCTGAAGATAGGTTATGTTCAAAGCTATACATTGTGATTATTTAAGTTTTTTTGTGTTTTCAAAAACTTTGAGGACAATTACGGGAAATAACTACCGCGCCCGTGTTGTGTACAGTGAATATAATTATTTCTTATCAGTCATTTTTGAAATTCAGCAAATTTGCATACGTAATTTCCAGAATTGATAAGAAAAAGTGGATGCGCAACTAATTTCTGGCTTTGAATCTCAAGTAAGTGTATTTGAGGCAAGAATCCAATGGAATTATCATCAACACATAATACACTGGTGAAAAAAATTAGAATATTTTTTTGTGACATGGACAAAACAAGTTAGTTATCATGTAAAACGTACCCAAAAAGCCGGAAATAGCATTCGAGTTTTTCTATGCCCCACGGTTTTCGTGCAATAAGGCATTTTATTTGCTGCTTATACTCGTAAAAAATAGAGACATTAATCTCAGAATGTTGTTGTCGACGTTTTATGGCGATATGTTGCTCCTGAAGTATCTCTTAGCAATATTCAGCAATAATCAGCAAGCAAATTGGCACTCAATTTGCCTTGATACCGTTTTTCTATAGCAGAAATGTCTTGGTGGAACCGTTCACCATGTTCATCACTTACCGCACCTAAATTTTCCGGAAAAAAATCGAGATGAGAACCCAAAAAGTGAATTTTTACAGGCATGTTACATCCCATTCCTTTATAAGCATTAATTAGTTCACTCACAATATTTTTATAATTGTCCGCCTTCACATTGCCTAAAAAATTTGCAGTAACTGATTTAAAAGCATTCCAAGCTCGTAATTCAGTTTCATTTAGAGCACTGTTAAAAGCATCATTCTTCACGATTTTCCGTATTTTTGGATCCACAAATATGCCCTCTTTAATTTTTGCCTCACTAAATCTCGGAAATGTTTGTTTTAAATGCAGAAACCCTCTTTCATTTCGATTCATGGCTTTCACAAAATACTTCATTAGTCCCAACTTAATATGCAAAGGTGGAAGTAACACGTTTTTCGGATCAACTAGTGGTTCATCAGCAATGTTTTTGATGCCCGGAGTTATTACCTGACGTAGTGGCCACTCCTTCTGTTAATAATGCCGATCTCGCTCACGACTGTCCCATTCACAAAGAAAACAACAATACTTAGTATATCACAGTTGCATTCCAAGAAGAAGGGCTATTACCTTTAAATCTGCACATATGGCCCATCCATATTCATTATAACGGATATGCTATAACAAAAACTCGCATATTTTCATATGATTCCTTCGTATGAACTGCGTGCGCTATAGGTAGAGATGGATATCTATTACTGTTGTGTACCAATACAGCTTTTAAACTCAGCTTAGAGGAATCAATGAACAGGCGCCAATTGGTTAGATCATGTTTCTGTCCTAACGCGTCTAACAAATTGTTGATATCGGAGCAATATAGACACTCCCTTTCTTGACGGAAACAGTGTGTGAGGTCGGGTTGCCGTTTTCGGTGAAAAGTAATTTTAACATCACCGTGGAGAAGATACCATCCTTCTAATCTTGACGCTAAGACTTCTGACTGGGATTTTGACAGATTTAATTCTCGAACTAAGTAATTAAGTTCGCCCTGTGTGATCAAATGCGGCGCTGTTGAACATCCTGGCAGGTCAAACGAAGGATCGGAATTTTTTACGTTTTGTGCACCATCACTTTCAGAATCGGTGGATTCAACTTTTTCATCCAAAGACCAAGATTCTGCTAGAACTGCGACAGAAAGTTCATCACTATGCTTAACGGGTCGCAAAGCTGATGGTAAATTAAAATACTTCACAGTAAGTTTCGATTTTGGTCCAATACCTTTAAATTTGTGAGGCAAACATAGCAACCAGTAGTATGGCCTCTCGGTTCTCTCCAAATCATTGGTACCGCAAAGGGCGTTTCACGATTGTCGCCTCTTAACCAACCTGTTAACAACGTTACACAAGTCTTACAACATACGTATATATGAGGGCCCATAGTTTATCTAATCCTCACTATGCACCTATGCATTGCCCTTACCTCCAGTAATGCCATCTCTGAAGCAGATTTTACATCACATCAGAGTCAAACATTGATAACTGAAGCCTCATGACGTTTAGGCAACAGGTACAACTACAAAACTAATTCACAACGTGACTATCAGCTAGTGCTAAGTTAACATTTTGTAGAAAAACCTACATAATGTCACAAAAAACCAATATAGTGTCGAAAAAATACATAACATGTCACTTTTCAAGATACGTTCGAAGCGCGATCCAGTGGCGTAGCATAGGATCGGTATTCGATGTCGGAGTCGGATTCGACAGTATGAACATTTCATTTTTGAATACTGTTTAGTGGCGCATTTATGAAAGATGACCCGGTCAATTTTTCAAGAGGGTGCACTTGTTTCGTGAATCACATAGTGTAAATCAAGTGATAAATTGATAGGTTGTTTTGTTTTATTTGATACAGTAAAACAGAGTCGTGTAACTTTGAATCCTCGACTTGTTTTTCGTCCAGGGAGAGAAATGCTACTTTTCAATGTAAGCCCTGTTCGTACAGCTATCAGACATCGTGTCTATATCTACATATATATAGACAGAATTCACACGGCCGGATCCCAGGCACAATCACTGACAAGTCACTGCCCATTGTACGAACAAACCAAAAGCATTGCGATCAGTAATGACCATTTCATCAGTCGTTAGTGAAACGAATAGCTCATTTTCATCCAGTTATATATGTCAGATCAAACAGCTCTCACTTGAATAGGATTCTCAGCATTTCGGTAAAAAAACAAGTTTAAAAGCGCTACTAATCTAGTAGCAATAATTAAGGCACCAACGTTCCTCAAAAATAAATAAAACATGTATCTTGCTGCTACTGCAGGGACTTGATTTGATTTATAGAATCGATATGTACACAAGTATCAATAGGGATGGAAATAAACAATTGTAGCTCATAATGTTGCACATAAACTGTGCATTGCATAGAAAATATGACGTTTTGATTAATTAGGGAAACGATGAAAAATAATATGCTCATAACTTGAGTATAACTAAAAAGAGGCATAGTACGCTGCCCACGATTGAAAAATAATAAAATGCACATTGTGCAAAACTAGGGATTATGGAATAACAATCACGTCACTGGGAACCGAAACTAAAAAATAAACATAACCTGTACTTACCAATGAAACGAAACATGTGTAGCAGTGTTTCGGTGTAAAAAAGTACCTCACTATTATTAATTTCACAAATACGAAAAAAAATATCACAGCAGTTAAAATTGAAGAAAATTGAAATTACAAGCTACTCCGTCAACTCGAAAACTCACATGCCATTCGAATTATGAATTGAAGCGTTTTCGCATCTTATACGATAACTATGCAACATTGTCAATTGTTGCGGCTTCAGAGTCAACTAGTTATGATATCGCATTTTATCTAAGAAGGACCTAACAACAAATACTTTTTATTATCACGTCTTCGAATATACTACCTACCTAAGTACATATGAATACCTTTACCCCCTTTTAACTTATTAATAGGTACTGAATACGAACTACAGTTAGAAAGCATTTTCGAAGATTTACTAACTTTCATTGGGGGCATGCAACATGGAAAATTATTGAGGAGATATCTGCAAAAATCCGAAGGTAAATAGACAGGTCTATATTTTCTAGTAGTCGTTATTACTATGTCGTCTCCGAGTTCGTGGTTTTATGATTATTTTGTTTGTTTGTTGCTTACATATATTTAGTTTACGTTGTTTTAATTCTGACGAAAATGCTGTACATATTTCAATGTCTCTTAGTATAATGAATAATATGAATTTACATTGAATTCGAATTTGAACATTGACCCATCCTTATTATAAAACCCCATAGTTTTTATACCACTCTAACGTCATTTATATTTACACTACGTTACTTGCTATTGATTAACCTAAGAAGTGTTTCTTGGAGAATACCAATGCACTATAATCAAGTATACACAGCTACGTACTTACCATCCATCCGGGCAAACCGATGTCTCCGGGTTTGCCGGGGGGTCCAGGAGGTCCCATGGGTCCCAGCTTACCACGTCGACCGCGTTTTCCCATTTCGCCCTTCTCGCCCTGTCGACAGGAAATCAAACTCGGACAGTGACTAATTCTACATGCGGTCCAACCGGTGACAGGTATGGATCTCAAACGATCTGATTTGTAATAGGACCTTTCGCTTTGGTTGAATTATAATTACTCTATGAGGATAGGGTGAAACGTTTTTATCCTGACACAGACATCGCGCTCCAATCAGTGAAAAGAGCTATGTCCCGTTTTGGTCCATATGGCGAACAGTAATAACGTCTACATTGTGTTTCCTAATTGAATGGCAATATTTAAGGGGGAGATTTTTGGGCCCAATTTTGAGAGGAAAACTTTCATATGAACGTATGTCCTACGTGTCTTAACTTTTGGGATACACTTTTCAAATATAAATCACATATTATTAATATCTGTAATAACTTTAGATATTTTTATGAAATTTGACATGTATTTTAATGTACTACATTTTTTAGATTTCCGCTAGTGGCATTCGTTCGGAATTTTACCTGCCTGTTTTCGCAGAAGGTGATGGTATGCCACTGATTTATCTTAAAATAAAAAATATTCCAGATGCATGGTTTTCGTTTGAAGAAATATTTAGTTAATGAGAACTGTGGGTAACCATCCACACCAGTGATTTCACGGAGCAGAAATTCTAACATATTTCAAGGAACTTGCTGTTAAGGTTTTTGAGCAATACATTATTTGGCGAGTCATTCTTTAATATTTTATTCTATACTTGTATAATAATTAATGGTAATGACCTTTCATTTTTATCCTCACCTTAACAGTAACAATTTGAGCATTTCCTTCAGCAACAATAACAGCTCCAGGTGGTCCTTTCTCGCCTTTATCTCCTTTGGACCCCGGGGGTCCCACAGGACCCACAGCGCCATCCACTCCTGGATCTCCTTTTTCTCCAGGCGGCCCAGAAGCTCCCGCAGATCCTGACACACCTGGTACACCTGCTTCCCCATCTGAACCCTTGTCTCCTGTAACAAAAAATGGCAAAGCAATGGAATTAAGGTCGCACTTTGGAGCAACATTCGTTTTCATCTGATTATGTTACGGTGTGTAAAGAGGTAACAATGTTATGTTTCCTTTTGTAAAAAAATGCATTTGTTGTGCATTTTATTGTGCACTTTTTCTTGAATCGTAGCTTGTCAAAAAAAATTAGTAAAGCTCTGAAATTGCATGTAAAAATTCTACTTTTATAGTAGAATTGAGCTGGCAACTAGAAACCTCATTTTGCAGCAAATTGAGTTTTCAAGAAGAGCAAAGATTTTTTTGAAGAGGGAAAGTGATAAGAAAAAGTAATGGTCCGCTCAACTTTTCCATAAAAGTGGAATTATCACATACAATTTTAGTCCAATAGCGTTTTTCTGGGTTCTTTTGGGTGTGGATTAAAACACTGGATTCCACAAAAAGAAATGCACTAATTTATTTAACTTGATAAAACATTTATATACGCCACTATTTATGTTCTGACTAATTCTTATGTCGCTATTGCCTGCACTATACTCCACTCTGCTCTGCTACTCTACCGTTCTCCATACTCTGCTTCCAGCTCCCGGCCGCCGAGTTATATGGTCCGCATCGTTGAGTCGAGAAGAATCGGTAGCCACATAGCGGCCTTCCAGAATAGTCGAGGTTAATTCGCGTCGATCCAGAAGGCAGGTCACTGCCACGTTCCTCACAGACGCCGCCAAGCGGCTTGTGCGGTCGTGGACCGCGTAAAAGCAGAGATCGGCCATGATGCTCTGGCGAGTAGGAGACTTTCCCAACAGATGGCGCCAACAGTACTATTTATCGTCACACTATTATTTGTTAACAACTTATGATTGAATAAATAATACACAAAAATGCACAAAAAAATATTTTTTATACAAAAAGGAACCTGATAACATTGTTTTTCAGTTACTTCCTGATACACCATGAAACAATCCGACGAAAAACATTAGGAATACTCCTCCAAAAAGGCTGATGAAGAAATGGACATGCGACCTTAAGAAGTTGTTTAACGACTTGCGGTTTGTTCCAGGGTTTTCAGGCTTCAAATATCTCTTAAGTTGATACTCAGCCAGTCAGTTAGAGCGTTAGAGGTAATAGACATGATCCCAATTCACGTTCTCTAAGAACTTTGCAATACGTGGACAATTTATTTCAGGCTTCTGTTGTCTAGAAGTTTCGTCTCCCAGTATTTACAATAAGTTAGATATTTCCGAACATCGTCTGCAGAAAACTAAAAACGTTTTATGGAATCTACTTTTATAATTTTTTTCCTAATGCGCTCAAAATATCTGGACCGGCTCATATAGGTATACAATTATATCTTAACTTTTTGTTAAAGTATTTTTAAATAATCATTCTTCAGGTCTTTTATAGTGACTTTGTATTGCGCTTGTTTGTTTTGTTTATCAGTTTGTTCGGATGAGTTTGTCCTATATTTTTATATTTAATTTACAAACATAATGATCATTTTACAATTGCGTTAATACCGATGCAAAAATAATAATATATCAAAACTCCTCATATACCTTTGAAGCGGAACCTTGTTTTATTTGGGTTGAGATGTCAAAAATATTACGTTTTGTCATATTTCTTTAACAGGTATAGAGATACCACAAAAGTACCTCATACAATAATTGTAGAGAATACAAGTATCTTGAAAAATTGTTCAAGTACTTTTATTTCTTGAGTACGCTGTTTATGAGATTTAGGTGCTCTTTTGCTCTCATGCTGCATATATTATGTGTACGTCATCGACCGTTCGATACATATATATGGAAGCATTGATGTATGCGACTTACACTAAAATACATATCACATATACAGGGTGTGTCAAAAAAGTGTGAGTGATTCTTCTAAAACTCTCAAATCTCTAAAAAGAAGGTAGTATAGTATAGTATAGTATAGTATAGTATTGATCCGTACCATTCAAAGACACCCTGGTCTGCTTAAGCTGCGCTCAAAGTAAATAAAAGTCGTATTTTCGGAAAAATATCGTACCTATTTGAAAACCGCTTCAGGCTTTCAATATGTTATTGCAATTAATATATCAAAAGTCGCCATTAATCCTTGGAGTGCAACATTTTCTATTGGAGGTTACATGTCAAAATTTCCAATTTTTATATTTCTCTGAAACGGTATGAGTAACCACTAAAATAGGTTACACTAAAATTGTAGAGCATGTTTATGCGTTCTTTGATTTATAGTATCTAAGCTACTGCTACGGCACGCACGCGTCATGTATTATTGTTATTGATCGTAGACGTACTTTCGCATTTAAGTTCAAATGTAATGAAAATATTGTACCATATTTTTTTGAGGTAGTCATGATACAAACGAGTTATATGAGGTTTGTAGAACAAGTACTGTTTCCGTATAACTTGTAATGTATGAAGCCTCCTTTATGAATATTTTTTGTAACGTGTTCATCACTATCGTGATGAAAATCAGTTTTTTCCATAACTACAAATATATTGATGAAGAAATACTCAAAGCATTCAAAGATCGATAGAAATTTATCAATTGCAATAACATATAAAGGCCTAAAGCAATTTACAAGTGAGTACGAATCTTTTCCGAAAATACGATTTCCCCTTTCATTCATTTTGAGCGCACCTTTAACAGACCAGGATGTGTTTGAATGGTACGAATCGATACTATTACCTTCTATTTTGAGTTTTTAAGCATTTCCCGATCAATTGATTTTTTGTTGATCTAGGAATCCTGTATAAATGATGCGTATTTTAGTATAAGTCGCATACATTAATACTTCCACCTGTACTCGTATGTTCATATTGAACGGTCGATGGCGAACACGTAATATATGCTGCATCAGATCACAAGAGTGTCTGAGAGTCTGCACATCACTAAATCTCAAAAGCGGTGACTCAAGGAAAGGTACTTGAACAACTGTTATTAAAAATTGTATTCTACCCTTTTTTGAATAAGGCATTTTTGTGGTATCTCTTTCCCTTTTAGAAGAAATATGACAAAACGTGATATTTTTGACATTTCTACCCAATTTAAACAAGGTTCCGCTCCAAGGATATATGAGGAGTTTTGATATATTATTGTTATTATAGGTCTGTACCAATTTTCAGCTTTATGGGAGGTTTTGCAATTTTTATTTTTATTTTGACTGGATTATTCACTGACTTTGACCTGTGTAAGCACGCAGATAAATAAATAAAATAAAGGACCCGACAACACATCAAAGTCGATTTGCCTAAAAATTCAGTATGATATATTTATCGCTTTATTAAATAAAGGTTCCCATGGGAACAAAGTAATCCATTATTATATTCTGAGAAATAGGGGGAGAGTTTCCCTGATTTGCAAAAAACGGTGAATGTGCCCATTACGAAATACTCACAGAATTGTAATACTGAAGAAAGTGATTCATTTAAAAACCCTTTAGAAAGGTATTGCGATGTGTCACGATAATTTTAGCCATGATCCTTACAAGGACAATTTAAGCGTAATCTTATTTTCATACGTAGACACGACCTGTTCGTGAATGCAAAAGCACTCACTCGAGAAGAGAGATCGCTTCACAAGGTCACTGAAGAGTCGTGGTTCACAAGGTCAGTTCAAGGTCATTTTGAAGGCAAAAATGAAAGAAAAAGCGCAACTTAGCTTTAGATTTATTGCCCATTAATTATTGTAATAATCATCAGGTAAATCCTTGTTATTTTCATAAACTTGTGTTTAAGATGTCCATAGTCTATTCTGTATTGGATTTATAAAACGTAAGTATAAAGTCTTTGTTCAAATACCTTCTACCTCATCTAAAACTAGACCTACGTTTGGCTTTTGAGTTGTTGCTAACATCTGAAGTGCTAATGCAGCATAAGCGCCTCCCATGAATAATCATTAGAGGATGATATCTATTAATGAGAGCATCAGCTATTTTATAAAGGTCTGCTAGAAGCGGTATGTATCTGAAATTTTTTCTTGAGGAATTAAAAAAAATTTAGTAAGCAGGCTCGAACTTCATCCACCTAGTTTACGGGAACTAATCATAAGATTGCTTTGGTCCCAGGAAAACTTTTATTCGGGAAAGCGGGAAGTATATCATACTGAATATTTAGAAAAATCCACTGGGACGAAATTTTCATATGTTTTGTGCGTGGTTCCTCAGTCGCCAGCCGCAAGCCAAAAAATCCTGAAGCCTGGAGATCTCTTTAGTATTATCTTAGATCTTTCTTATGAATGTTTTAATTCATATGTTCATTCGTAAATTATATTTCAGAGTTTTTATATGCAGCTGCACTCAACTCTATTGTTTAAAGATTTAAACAATAGAGTTGCAAACGTAAAATGTAAAGCGCCAAGTATTTCTGTGGTATATTTTATAATTTCTCTACATAAACGAGACTCTTTTTATGTCTTTTCCACTTTCGTTAGCTACATCGTGGTGTAGAAATTCAACATAATTGTATTACCAATTTGGGACATGAGATAATTGTAATAAAACATCAGACGAGGATGAGTTTAAAACGGCCGTAGATCTTTTTTGCTTGCAGTGCCCGAAATAAAGAACTTTGCAGCTAGCAATTACGTTTAGTTTTAATTATGTTGGAACGTAAACGCTTGCATCTAAAATAAAGCTGGGGGCGTACAGAAAAGCATGTTTCTATATAGCGTGTGAGAAAAAGGGTTTTTATCATTTTTGCTCATCAAAAAGTTAAAAACTGCCAGCAGCACCTGTGCTATCTTCAGATTTACATTTTAGTGAGAATATCTACAATGCATATTTGAGGTCTTACCTTTTTCTCCTTTTTGCCCAGGTTCACCTTTGATTCCAGCCAGGTTTGGTACTACTGACGATATGTCAGTCGTGCCTACCGATATTCCAGGCGGTCCCGGTGGCCCCAAATCACCTTTTTCTCCTTTATCTCCTGATTTGCCGGGAGTTCCAGGAATTCCATCTACCCCTGGATCGCCACGATCTGCTTTTGGACCCATACTTCCTTTGTCTCCAGGAAGACCTATGATAGAAGTCAAACAAGATAGTTATAGATAGATGACTAAGTCATGGAAGAAGATAATAAGCCAGATAAAAATCTAACGTAGAACTAAACATAATAAAAAACTCCTCTTTAGCCCATTTTTCCTATGGATACCTTGGAGCTCAGATATCACAAAAAGTGTACCTTAGTAGAAAATTTCTATAGACTTTGATGGTTTGCACGTAATGACAATCAGAAAACAAAAAATTTGGTTCAAAAACTCGTAAAAAAAACGGCTGTCAATAATCGGGTTTATAAATAAATGCCCCGATTAAGCGCCGATCATACTACATTTCATTTGATGTCGAGAAATAATATTGTACCTTTTTTATTTACTAAAGAGACATGCTATTGAAAACGTGCCTCAGTGGCAACATAGAGTGCAGCTCTACCATCGAACTGAAAAAATATGGCTTTCAGATACTTATTCTTAATAATTCAATACTACTATGATTCCATCAATTTCTTTATTTCTAGGTAAGATGCAAATATTTTTGTAATTTTGAAATTATACAAAGGGGGGGGGGAGGGGTGGTGCTTGAGCCCCAATGCCATTTACCCATGAATACGCCATTAGATATCATTCAATCATTGCAGGACGGTTCTGAATATGACCCTGTCCAAGTATTTTGGATTTGGGCGGGCTTAAGTAGAGCGGTAGTACCAAGAAGATTTACCTCTATCTCCTCGATCTCCTTTATGGCCAGGCTCCCCTGCAGGTCCTTTAGGGCCTTGGGCTCCTCTATCGCCCTTAGGGCCAGCTGGACCTGGTTTTCCTACCTCTCCTTTTGGTCCCGGAACCCCGCCTCTCAGCAGGGGACCTCCAATGACGCTCTCCTATCAAATTATCAAATCACATTGAATGAATAAAATAACAGAAAATCAAACTACGATTAAATTAGTCATCGGTGAGCAATCACTAGCATTCTGATCAATAGACAGGTACGGTAATTTAAAAAGTGCAAAAGAATGCTTGGTAGGCTCTACAGTGATGAGCTTACTAGGTGTATCATTAAGTATATTTTCCGTCCAATGCTTATACGAGGGTCACTATTTATATTTTTTACCTCGGCAACACAGTGTGTAAGCTTACTTTTCTAATTAAAATTCACATTTTTAAACATGACGTTCAGAACTGTTTGTTGTTTGAGCACAGTTTGTGTTGCTGATCTTGATTTGAAAGCTGTGTCTTAGTGAAAAAATAATAGTTTAAAAAAACTGAAAAACACGCTTTTATAGCTAACCGAACAAAGAGTTTATAATACAGTTGTAGATGGTCGAACAATCAATCATAATTAATGGAATTAATTCGTGAACATTTTCGTGAGTTGGTTTATTACGACTTTCGATATGGATTACCATGGAAGGAGTGCATAGATCAACTTACTTCATCTTTTGGCGCGGAAGACGCATCATTTACCACTATGAATTATCGTGGATGCCATTCTCTTGGTGACGAAAGTCGTGTAGGTCGTCCGAAATCACTTGTTATGTCAGAAAACATTGATGCTATGCAAAAACTAATAATCCAAGATCATCATGTGATATATTGTTAGATTGAGGTAGACTTTTAGGCATTCGTTCCACTAGCATACATAAAATATTACATGATCATTTAGCTGTGAAAAATATTTGCTTTCGTTGGATCCCACACAATTTAAAAATCCATCTAAAAGAGACTCGAGTGGATTGGTGCAAATGAAAGCTGGAAAAATACAACAGCGGTGCTTCAAAAGACGTATATAAAATTGTAACAGGTGATGAAACATGGATATATGCGTCTGAGCCGGAAAGGAAACAGCAGTCGACTGTATGGGTATTTCATGACGAGCCGAATCCAACAAAAGTTCTTCGCGCATGAAACACTCTGAAACAAATGGTCGCTTGTTGTTAATTCTGAATGGTACACAACTATTTGTTTGCCGAAATCTTTGGTGAAATAAGGAAAACCAACAAGCGCCGCCGCATCGTTCCTTATCAAGACAATGCGAGTTTTCAAGTCTCTCCTGAAACAATTGAGTATTTGAGTACCGTCGATTGGGGTGACATTGATCTCAAGGGGCGAGTTTGATCACCAGATCATTTTCTCATAGATTTGAATTTAGCGCCAGAACTAGAAAACCATTCACAGCGAAAGCTATTGTGTGCGTCAGAGGAAACATGGCTGGAGATACGGTATGCGTATAAGCTAGCGGTGCCGCTTATTTCAAGTAAAAAGTCAGTGTTTTTGAAGGTGTCGGTTTTGGCTCATAGAATAACTATCTGAAAATTTGCCAGGTAAGTTAAAATGCTGATGTGTATTTTTGTTTGCGTCATACTATGCATGTTTGTTGATATTTTGAGGTTATGGTGTAGTCGAGCGGGAATGAACAGTGGCGTGCTTTTCATAATATTGAGATATTTAATGGTTGGGGTCAGATTGTTCGCATAGACGGGGCGAGATTGATCAATTTTCAGTGATCAATCACACCATATATAAAAATATGAGTACATTTTTTTGTATTGTTAATAAAATTATGATTGGATTCAGCTATAATTTTATTGTTTCTTCCAGTTGATGAATCCTAATCATGCCGAGGAATTATAAAAGAAGACTTGGATCACTCCATTACGTGGATTATGCCCCAGAGATCCTAGAAGCTGCTCTCAAAAAGATGGTAGAAGATGGATGGTCCCTCCGTCAAGCATCGGATGCACATAATATCCCTTTTGGTACCCTTCGGAATAAGTATATGGGAATCAGAACTCTAAAATCTGAAGGTCAAACAGTTTTTTCAAATGCGGAAGAGCTTGCCTTCGTAAAAGCAGTAACTATCTGTTCAGATTGGGGATTCCCACTTACGCTTACTGATTTGCGCTGTGTAGCTAAAAGCTATCTGGATAGTCAGGGTCGCAATATTGGAAAGTTTAGAGCAAACGTGCCTGGAACAGATTGGGCTCGTTCTTTCTTACAACGACATAAGAAAGATATTCGCCAAAAAGTTGCATCGAACATCAAGAGAGCTCGGGCCTAACAAAATGGAAGAACACTCATCTTCATCAATCTACTCTGGATAAAAAGGATTTTCCCAGTCTATTAGCCTCTACTCTTGTAGAAACGAACCAAAAACATAACAATGCTATAAAGGAAGACTTGATAAGTTCATTTCGTGCAACTGGTATAGCTCCTCTGGATGCTGAACGGGTTCTGCGAAAAATTCCAAGCCAAACTACTGATACGAATACTGAAGATGCGCTGGGCAACGTAGGATATCTGCAACAACAGCGATTCACGGTAGGGCCATCAAGAAGGAATATGAGGCGTCAAAAGCTGTCTGTAGACTCTGGGAAAAGTGTTGTTCCAAATGAAGAATCGAGTGACTCGGAAACAAACGACGATCCTCATACTAATGATAGCTCCAGTGAAAACTCATTAGATACCATCGCCGAACCGGAAACCGAATACTTTGAACTAAGACAAAGAGATATATTTCCTGGCAAATTTCTTCTAGTTAAAGTATGTGGTGGATCAAGAAAAAAACAGTTTATCGATATATTGCCGTTGTGCAAAATGTGACCGAGAATCAAAATGTTCGAGAATTCGAGGTGTTGGGATTAACGTCTATAGATGGATCTAAAAATAAGTTTAAAGCTCAAGATGGCGACGAATTTATAGTGGATTTTCCACACATAGTAGCTGTGTTGCCGGATCCTGTCATCGAAAATTCAGATGGCCTTATCACCTATCGTTTTGATAATATGATAGATATATTCGAAATGTAGTTTTTCTTTTTTATATTCTACCTCAACTGTTAGGATACTTATTTAAATTACTTGTATTAGTTATAGATAAGGGTAAGCACCTAATTCAATATGTGAAAATAGTTTTTTGTGAGTTACCTGGAAAAATAAATGTAGTTTATTATCCAAATAGGTGTTTTCAGCAATTATTTGTTGGAATATGTAGAGTAAAATAAAGTTGATCAATCTCACCCATAGTGAACAATCTCACCCCACCTACATTAAAATCCTGTAGTTCTGTAACCAGTAGAAATATAATAACCAGAGTTGAGATCGTTCATTTAGGAGCCTGTACGCTCATTTTGCACGCGATTAATACTACGTGAACAATCTCGCCCCAAAACACGTATGAGATTGATCAGCCCTTTTTGAATTCGTTATGGTCATAGTTTCAAACATTGGGGTTCTGTGCACCTACTGTGCGATTCTTGCTCATAATATGTAACAGATTCAATCATCATAGCCAAATAAAATTGTGACATAACAAAAATTATGCGAATAATCTGAATATTTTGATCAATTTAACCCCAAATGACGGTACCCAATATATTGATTTATTGGGTCACCGTCATACAGTCCTTATGACTTCTTTTTGATCCCGTACGCCAAAAATAAATTACTTGGACAATGCTTTTTGTCGGCAGAAGAAGCTATTCATAAAGCATGTTTTGGAGTTACAGGGTTTGTCCGGAAAGTAATAGGACTCATTTTCTTCCGCCATGGCTGTACTTCGGAGCGTGCGTGCACCGACTGGATTCGGTAGAGGGCGTTCCTAGCTAACGAATGAGCAGCTGGTCAGTTGTCTCCGAGCACTTGGAGAGTCAGGACAGGCATTTTCGCGCGACGTGTTTCTATGAGTGGTGCAAGCCGAAAATGCAGCGTTCGATAGAGCAGAGATACGCGATTAAATTATGTGTGAAACTCGGTAAATTTGCGACAGAGACGTTTGATATGGTCAAGCAGGCTTACCCAGGTATTGCTTTGGTAAGAAGTGGTGTGTTTCGGTGGCACCAGACCTTTTTGGAGGGCCGGGAAGAGGTCGCTGATGAAGACCGTGCTGGAAGACCTTCGACTTCAACAAACACCGATAATGTGACTCGTGTGCGCAAAATTTTGAACTCAGACCGTCGACTAAGTATTCGTTTAATTGCCCAGATGTAAAATTTACCAAAATCTGTGGTTCGTGACATTGTGACACAGCATTTAAACATGAGCAAGGTGTGCGCGAAGAAGGTCCCAAAAGTGCTCACTGACGACCTGAAATTGTGGCGAGTGGAAGTGTGCCAAGAAAATTTGAACATGTGTGAAAGTGACCCCCAATTTTTGAATAACGTAATCACAGGTGACGAGTCGTGGATATTTGAGTATGATCCCGAGACAAAGAGGCAATCTTCCGAGTGGCACACGACGACGTCTCCTCGCCCAAAAAAGGGAAGAATGAGCAAATCCAAAGTGAAAACGATGCTCATTGTCTTTTTTGACATCAATGGCATCGTCCACCATGAATTTGTTCCTCCTGGACAAACCGTCAACGCCAAGTTTTACGTGGAAGTGCTCAGGAGACTCAAACGAAGGGTCAGTCGGGTCCGATAAGACATCGCAGCCGACTGGAAGTTGCACTACGACAACGCCCCGGCTCACACCGCCTTTCTTATGAACAGTTATCTGACCAATGCCGGCATCCCAACGCTTCCGCAGCCGCCCTACAGCCCAGATGTGGCCCCCCGGACTTTTTTTGTTTATTCGCCTGAAAAGGCCCATGAAAGGCAAGCATTTTGAGATGACATAGGGGATCCAAGCAGCATGCACCGCGGCTCTCCGGAGAATGCCTTCCGTGACGCCTTCAATGCTTGGAAATCGCGCAGGCAGCGCTGCATCGACGCAGAACGAGCCTATTTTGAAAGTTTTAAAGAATTGTAACGATTGGCTCAATAAATTTTTATAAATCGACTCAGTCCTATTACTTTCCGGACAAACCCTGTACCTCTGTCGGAGTGGCAATTTTGTTTTATTAAAGTGTATAAGATCATAATGGATACTATTTTGAAAAACAGTAAAGTGATTTTCAATGGCAAATTAGTTTTTTGTATTATTAGGTTCAAAATATATAGTGACCCTCGTAGTGTAGTTGTCTTGCTCAGTTTCAATAAGGTGGGTGGTCCGTGGAAGGCCATTAGAACAAATATACAGTTGGCAGTTGGCAGGTTAGATGGGTGCGAGTAGAAGAAATATGGCAATAACTACGACTTTTTTAAGAATTAGCCTTACAAAGAGCATGACCTATGGTCCACCCACCCTATTTCGTAACCTGTACGTGAACGTAGTACTGGAAAGGATAGTAGAAGTTTGAGAACTCAGCGTCAAGAACTCTCGGATGTAGCAATGGTTCATGTAAAAGACTTCTTCTAGCAGTAAGAGATTTTTCAATTTTTTTGATCTATATCTTACCTTAAACGGTCCTCTGGTTTTCCAGCTTGGCTAGATGAAAATACTTTGAGTAAGCTTATAACAATAAAAAAGCACGTCGGTATAGAAGTGGTCAACGTCTATCTTAAGCTGATTCAGAGTGTATGATTTGTTGTTTGTTAAATGTCAAAGAATTTCAAAATGTCTTCAATTATTACTTTGTTGAGCTTTTTGCGCTTCAGCTGTTTATAGCACATTATTGGATAGAACTTCGAAAGCGGTTTTAGTAAGCGCATGATCATTTTGGAATGTTTTTCCATAGAGAACCTTCTATATTTTATTTCACAAAGCTACGATAATACTAAACTAGCTCAATGTATCATGCCCCTGGTGATAAATTAAGTGAAAGACAAAAGCACGCTCAAATGATTATAGACGATTCAAAAAAGTGGTTCGATGCAGATGACCTGCAATTGAATACAGAAAAGAACAACATATGTACATTTTCTTTACAACAAGGCGTAGCTTGGCATGGAGGTGGAGTTCTTAGGAATAAGCTTGGACTCCCGCATATCTTTACTGTTCGCAAAATTGCAAATATAATAATAATAATAGACGTCTTTATTTATCCACAATTACATTGTAGTATAGCCAAATGTCAGACTTACATGGTGAGGTTTAGCATGCTCCTACACTTAACCATATAGTCTCTAGCAGATGTTCAAAAGAATACACTATCCACAAACAGATTTGGTTCATTACATCGAAAGTGAAATTTAAAAAAAAGAGAAAAAGGCATACTTTCTAAATCCAAGTACACCAAAAAATTATTAATCTGAATTAAAGATGGAATAAAAAAGAAATGAAATATGTTTGGAGGGTTGAGTAATAATGTTTTAACTTTTTGTCGAAAGACTGGTAATGAAGATTCTTTATATACTTTAGGAAGGTCATTATAAATAATAGCAAGATTGTAAGAAAAACTGCGTTTAAAAAGTGTAGACGCATGCAGGAGTATTCTAATATTATTTTCTCTGAGAAGTCTACAGTGAACATCATTATTAAATGAAATTTTTTCCCTCAAGTAATAAGGTTTAGACGTGAGCAGCAATTTGTGAACAAAAACTGAATAGTGATACTTGACCATGTTATTAATTTTTAACCAGTTTAGAACGGGATATTTCGCTGATACATGATCAAATTTACGTAAGCCAAAGATGAAACGTATACAATTGTTTTGAATAACTTGAATAACGTTTTTAGTAAAATTGTCTAAACAAGTATAGTATACGATATTACAATAATTTAGTATAGATATGACCAATGCTCCATATAGTTTTTTACGCAACTTAAAATTTAGTAAATACCTGTTTGCTATAAGAGTGCGCAGCCGTAGATAGGTTTTCTTTGAAAGACTTTCAACATGTTCAATGAACCTTAATTTTGTATCAAAAACAACACCAAGAATTTTTGCAGAATCAGAAAATTGCAAAATTTGGTTATTTATCTGAATGTTCAAGAGCTGTGTTACATTGTATGTTTTTCTTTGTGTGCAAAATAATAACATTTTAGATTTTTGTCGATTAATAAGTAGATTGTGATCTAAAGAGTATTTAATTAATTTATTAACATCGTTTTGTAAAATTTGGGTACCTAGTATTATCGGCATTATCTGGGTTAAAATAATGGATCAATTGCGTATCGTCTGCAAATGACTGGATATGAGAAGTATCAATACTTTAGCTTAAGTCGAACGTATATATGAGGAACAGGAGCGGCCCCAATACAGAGCCCTGAGGTACGCCCGAGGGAATTATTGTCACTTGAGACATTTCTTGATTGAGAAAAACGCACTGAGTTCTTTGATGAAGGTAACTGTCGAAAAGTGAAAGGGGTACACTGTCAAGACCTATGTAATTTAATTTAGCAAGTAACAGTTTATGATTGATGCTGTCAAAGGCTTTTGAATAGTCTATAGAGATTAAGGCTAGTGCCATTTTCTTATCTAAGGCACTCAAAATATTGTCTTGCAGATTAAGTAGGGCAGATGTTGTACTATAATTTTTTCTAAAACCGGATTGAGTGTCGGGATTTTGTCTAGGTAAGCGGTCAATTGGAACTTTATAATTTTTTCTAAAATTTTGGATAAAATTAATAATACCGTGACGAAGATGCTGCCATTGCATCATATTATCGACTATTTCAATCAAAATTAACTTACAATATAACTGGTTGGGGCAGTCCTTCGCACTCAAACTTACAAAGATTTTTTATAATTAAAAGGCTGCAGTGCGGAACGTCAAACTCAAACACGACGACCCATGTAAGATCAGCTTTAGGATATTGGGTATCAAGGCATTATACTAGTATGCCTTAATCATTTATCATCAGTTGATTTGGATCAAACAAAATAAATAAAATAAAACTTTACAACTCGCTACGTAAGTATGTGACTGAACTACAAGTGAGTGTTTGTAGAAGGCAATTGAAACAATATTTAAATTAAATAGCTTTCCATAGTATCGAAAAAATATTAGATTCATTAAAAAGCCAATGGGTATTTTAGGCCAAAACTGTTCTGTTTATCAATTTATTTTCATCCAATGTATTTTATAATTTTTGTTTCCAATATCTGTTATGTAAATTTCGTATTTTACCGCTTATATGTATTTATACAGTGTATCATATATGTATGTATTTATTTAAGCATTTTTGTTTATTTACTACTAAACTGATATTGACGTGCCAAAAATGTCTGTACATTAAGGGTTTTACATACATCTATCTCTATATTTGACTATCTGTACTTACGTCAACATTTTCAAACTCAACAGGCCCCGGAGGTCCAGGGGGTCCCGGGGGTCCCTGTACCCCATCCTTTCCTGGCTCTCCTTTAATCCCTTGTACTCCGGATGCTCCTTGAGGACCTCTTTCTCCTCTATCACCCTTATCGCCCTTGTGACCTGAGGGGCCTCTTTCACCAGCGGGTCCCGGCAGTCCTGGGGGTCCCGGACTACCCGCTCTGCCCTCTACTGCGTAGGCAGAGGAGGAACGTTCGGGGAGGGCTGCGAGGATTGAGGTTATGTTGCACGAACAAGAACCCTGTGAAAGATGAAATATTTTCTGGTTCAGGTTGACTTTGCAATTGCCAAAAGTAAACAGATTTGGCTACCAGAAGACATATATGGTTTACAATTGGAGGAGTAAGAGTAGTCGACAATACGAGCACGCAGACACAGTGCTTTTCAAAAACTCCGTACTGATTTATTAGAAAGGTCCAGTTAATAAGTTGAGGTTTGAGGTGATGAAATTGATGCTTAGGTAAATACTATTTTTCAACGTAAAGATGAGAGTTGAACATCTGCAAATGGTGGCTAGGTCGTTTTAACTGGAATGAGAAGTTAACGTCGAGCGTTTTTGTACATAGAATCGCATATAGCTCGACAATAAATCATCACAATGTTATATATGTGAAATAAGTTCTCTTGGAGTCTCCTCTCTTCAGTTTGAATACTTTCTTTAATTAAGTTGCCCATACTTTATTACATATTCGGATGGACCTTTCCTAGAGGAAAAGATTATATTACATACAATAGCGTTTTTATAATTGGTTGTTTATTTTTAAGATGGTACCCAGCCGCCATATTAGAATTTTCAACAGCTACTTTTACGGTAACATATCGCATTCACTTTTTCACATATACTCAAAAAATATTGGTGTGAGTTGGCTGAAAGAAGAGTTGTAAGAAATAAGACGTCCTTCAAAATGAGGGTCTTTAAATGTTCAATTTACTGTATCTGCTAAATTGCTATTGAAACCCAAGAAAAATTATTAAAAAAATGATCATCAGTGTATGCAAACATCTATTTTCTACTTTTTTGGCCACCTGTCCAGCTATTTCTGTAAACATCGTACACCTGTATTTACTTCGTAGTTTTTCTTATACAAAAAAATATAGCAACGTTTTTGGCATATCTGGTTACCCCCTTCAATTCATTGTTCTGTCAAATTCGTCTAAACAAAATCTATATATAAATGTGAATGTCTGTCTAGTTTCTCAGCATCATGTTTGAACCCCAATATGTACTTACCTACTTACTAATTGACCCCCGAGGAAGATTATAGGAATGGTTTTATTTGTGAACTTATCGTCGATTTGGAATCAACTGTCGCGACTATTTGAAAAATCTCAACCTGTGACCGTCAAGATATACAGCACTATTTTGAACCAGCTCTTACCCACGACTTTGTTTGCTTGAAAATGGTGCTAACATAACATATTGCTTTTAGGTTTTATTATTATTATTAAAAAATTGGAATGAGCTCATGTACAAAAGGAAAACGTAGTCTACGGATAAGTAGCGTAAAATACATAAAATAAAAATAAGTTCATAGCTATAAAGTTAGTTCCCTGTCCCATCTATCATATACCTAGACTTTGAAGCTATTAACTGACGTAACATTAACCACTTTTTCTGGTAAACTGTCGCAAGTGTTAATTATGCGATTGGAGAGTAACCACCGTCGGACTGTTGCTCTAAACGACTCCCTTTGCAGTTTAAAGCTGTGACCGCTTAGATTGCTGCGCGACAGTTGGAATAGGTACTTGCCAATCAAGTCATGAAGTATTCTAAAGGCAACTTCGGTTGGAGAATGTGGTCAAGTGGAATACCTCGAGGCGATCTTCATAGTTGGGGTGCGAGCTCCAAATGGGATTCTACTTGGCCGACGCTATACTACGGGGTGCGGCAGAGAGGATGGACGGTTTTGAAGAAATCATAAAATAGTTAATTTTTACTCGAAAACCAATTTATTGATGGAATCAGGTAAACAAGGAAATAGCATTTGAGACAGTCAAGTGTAGAAAATTACATCAGGCATGTGGTGGCCGAAATCGTTGATGCAGTGCTGGAGGCGTTCTTGGAAGTTCGCGTAGACTCTCTCCAACATCACTCTCTCAACTTGGGCGACTTCTACGCGAATTTCGCTATTCAATTCGTCCAGAGTTTGGGGCTTGTTCGCGTATTCTCTAGTCTTGTGGTGTCCCCATAAGAGAAAATCGCATATGGATAAATCTGGGGACCGAGGAGGCCAATGAACATCGCCAAACCTGGAAATAAGGCGACCAGGGAAGAGAGGGCGAATAACGCCCATGGATGCTCGGGCTGTGTGGGCGGTCGCCCCATCCTGCTGGAACCACACACGTCGGATTGGAACACGTCGCCGTCGTAATTCAGGAAGAAAGAAGTTGGTGATCATGTCGACGTAGCGCTTTGAGTTCACGGTAAGATCACGACCATTACCGTCTTCGAAGAAGTAACGGTCCACGATGAAAGTTTGCGATACAGCGCACCAAACCGTTACTTTTGGGCTGTCCAGTGGTCTTTCGTGTAACTGTTGCGGATTTTGATTAGCCCAATAACGACAATTCTGCTTTTTAACCATGCTGTTTAGGTGAAAAGGGCTTCGTCACTCAAACAAAATGAGGTTCTCATTTTGATCGATCAGTGCTACCATCTCACGTGCGAAGTTCATTCGTTGTGCATAATCTCCGGGCTGTAACTGTTGCACAATGGCCAATTTGAAAGCGGAGATCCATATGCAAAATTCGCCTTACCCAACGATCACTAAGGCGAAGTGCAGCAGCATGTTTCCGGGCAGATCGAGTCGGACTGCGAAGAAAGACATGTCGAACGCGTTCAACATTTTCAGGAGTTCGAACTGTTCGCGGCGCTCCTCTTGGTATTCTGTTGATCAGTTCACCACGCCTGCGTAGTGATTCAACCCAACGAAGGCTGGTGATTCGAGAGGGAACAGCTCTATTACGATGAATGATGCAGTGGCAACGAAACTCACGCTGTACGACGATGACTGACTCATTATTTCGGGCGAAACAGTCATAGGCGAAAACGCGGTGCTCCACCGTTCAAGGCTCCATAACGACAACTGGTAAAATAATGCTAGGATCTCACGAGTCAAGCGGCACCCTCCCCACCTCTCTCGTAGACGGAGGCGGAGAGTACTACCCGTCCCAAAAACGTCCGTCCTCTCTGCCGCACCCTGTACTTCAAGGAGATTTTTGTCGTGCACAAGTACCATTTCCTATACAGGGCCAGCAAATTCAGGAATTGTCCTTACAAATGTCTTGTAAATGGATCATTTGAAATACCTCTCCAGCATGTATAGAAGCTTTTTGACTTTGGTTCTTACGTGATGTATATGATCTGACCAGGATAAACGATTGTTGACTACAACGTCAATTTCAGTATGACTAGAGACCCCTTGGATGGTGCAATCAGAAATCTTGTATTCTAGTCGCGGATTGGTTTCCCCGATGTGTAAGACACAACACTTTGATACTTTTGTACCTTTGATGGCATTAGTTGAATTTACAGAAAACTTGGATGGTTGAGAAATTTGGTAACTACTAGTGGCGCCTGCTACACGTTACCCGGGTAAAATCGCAAGGCAGACAGATAATGTCATAGGGTCATTCTTCGCTACTCTCCTCCAGTCAACAATAAAGATTATAACAATAGTGCATCCAACTGTTGAGATGTCTCTTCGCTCTTGTTAGACAGTTATTTTCACAAACGTGTGTGTTTTGAGTCCACGTACCACCTGGTCACCCAATTTACGTTTTTTCCATTCGGCCGACTTTCAACAGTTTCAAAACGTAAAAATTGCATATTGCAGTAACTGCATATATCCGAGTTACGGTGCATATTATGAATATGCAAAAGGTCCGTTATGTTGCATCACTGGTGATAAACCGTAAAAATGTTCAGGGAAAACTTTTAAATCCCTTGTCGAATACACAATGTTTCACATTTCAATTAATTTCTATTGCTTTTCTTATGCGCCAAAGGAGGCAGGAATACGTAGTCCAATAAGAGAGAGAGAGCTAGAGGATCATTTTGCAAACATCGGGATATATTCCGCAGAGGTTGACTGAATTCACCCGACATACAGAAACACTGAAGAGGTGACAAAAAACACAATTTCTACGGCATTTATAGAATTTTTTGTACAACTCGGATATATGCGTAGCTGATTTCAAATATGAGGCATAGCAGTCACCTTGTTCGAAAATTTTATCCAAATTCTAAGTTATAGACGCGCTAAGGATAAGCGGATAGACAGACCGAAAGGCTGATGGACAGACAGATCGACAGTCAGACCGACAGACAGACGGGAAGTAAAAAAGCGTAAACCTTGTTAGATTACAACATTTATGGGTATTTTTTTGTGCGCCATTAAACCACTAAGATCTAGTATTAGATATGCAAATTAGTTTCGTTAATTATATCGATTACAAAATTGCTGATGCATAAAAAATTTATGGACTCAGCGTCGGAAATTGTCGATCGCTTAATAGTGAAATAGGCTTGAAATGTCTATTTTTTTCTTATGTATTTGTTCGGTCTAAATTGGAGTATTGTTCGAATGTCTGGAATCCAAACTATCAGTGCCAAAAAGAAAGACTGGATAACCAACCAATAAAGTTTTAGTTGTAATTTTGTAGTGTTTAAACGGCACCACCATCCAGATGAAGTAATGGAGAATGATATTTTCCTAAATAGTCCGGGCCATGTCGTCACACCTGATGGGAAAAATATCCTGATTCTGATATTTTGCATAATCTTATTCAAACAGTGCTCTGTATATTTGTGGCAAATATGTTTTAACCGTTTTTCTAAACATTTCAAAACTTATTTTTTTTCGTTCCGGCGAAGTGTATTTAGGTTTTTTTGGGACATTCTGAACAAAAAGGGCATTTAGAACTCTAAGGCCCGTATCGTCAGTCGTCCCTACAATAATTGTAGGGTGCGTTTATGGCCTCCTTGATTGTCATACTCCTTTCTCTCCTTCTAAAATTTCTAGATTACACTTGTCCCGTGTCAACGTCAGCGCTCTCCTATTGTGAAGATATGTTTTCTTTTTAGATTGTAGGAAATTTCAGGCTGATAAAACATGATATAACTCAAAAGCAAGCACAATTTGATGCAAATAGATGTTTGTGACATAACCTCAAAATAGAGCACTGACACGGAGAAGTAGAAAACTATGACAATCAAGGAGGCCATAAAGGCGCCCTACA